CCATCTTGGCAGCGCGTCACTCCCGGATAATCGAAAATGGGCAAAGAGGCGGGACTTGGTTGCTGAAGCCACGCCCACCTAGATCGACGGTGGTGACAGCAGCGGCAATCCACCTGTCATATAGACCAAAACCACTTTTTGTACCGGGCTGTAAACATATTTTTTTCTGCTGTAAAGTTGGGCATTTTAACATGGCAGGTCTATGGGACTGACTCCCTTTTGGAGCCAGCCTCTAGCGGTCAGTCGATGAATTGCAGTTTTAGTCACTTCCGTGTTGGCTTCACGAGAGAGCGCGGGAGGTTGCCGCTTGTTTTTACCCAAAGTTGAACAGTTTTCAACTCTCAACTCCAAAAAAAAAAAAGAGACAGGGCAAACAGACTTGTGAAATATTCTTAACGTTTTACGTACCATTTACATGCGATAGGGAGCAGGTGAACATTTCTGTTGTACCAGCTAAACATCTTGAAAACATAAACATTTTCATGAATTTGAAAGTTCACGTCAGAATGGCTTTATGAACGATTTACACAAAAATGTGTTCTGCTTGCTTTTCATGAACGAGGCCCCCTGTGTTTCTTTACAAACTACTGGCCTGGCATGCGTAATGCAGTGTTTTAGTTGTTTTCACAGATCCGTGTGAACAGGGATAATTCTGTTGACAAAATTTTGTCATCTGTACGTGAAACTTTTCAAAAAGCGCGAAGGAAAAACATTTACGTTTTTAGTACTTCACTGTTTTGTAATCATACTGATATTCAGGTATTAGAAATGTTTGGCATTTTACTTGCTGCTCATGCCATCAGACAGCGACAGGCAGAAGAGCGCTCCTCCGAGGATGCACAGCGTCGATCCGGCCCAGCCGATGAACAAGGCAGCGCCCAGTTCATACCTGAGGAGAAGCACAGCATTTCATCAGCAACATCGCTCCACTCACCTTCAGTCAGCCAAAAGCTGGTAGGAATAAAACTAGATATATATACTTTTGCGCAACAAACATGGGGTCGAAAAACTCGGACGTGATCCTGTGAGCGTACAGAGAGCAGGCGCTGAGAGAACACAGACCTGCCGAGGAACAACATGCACAAGTTACTGCGTCGTTATATATTAGTACAGCACTGGGCATTTCCAGCTGAGAAACAGATGTGAAACCCACCAGTACACATGAAGGTGATCCCAGACAAGCAGACAATTCTGGCTTTGGTTTGGTCAGGACCACCGATCTTAGTGCACTTCATGCCGATCAGAGCAAAGATCGATGCAAAGAAACCCAGACAGACTGCAGCGATCATCAGTCCCCGACACACCTGGATATAACCTGCACAAAACATGTGAAAGAATGAACGCTATCTGTAAGGCAACTTTCTTTATTATTCATTTTAGACATGTTCATCCAAAGAATGCTCAAATTATATATTTTACAATACATCATTACAACAATATATTTCTGTCGTGACAACTCTCGGAGGGATTGGCATGGTAATGTACGTGACAATGTTAATGTATTTGGTCTTGGTGGAAAAGATCTGCTACACTGCTGCTGCAATACATCCACAACATGCTGCTGTGAGCATGTAAGAAACACTGCTGCTGCACATATAACATACATGAAATAACCCCCATATAGCATACATGAATCACCTCGTAGCACATCTATACAGGTGGAGCTGAGGAAGGTGGAGGGTTTCTGAAACAAGCTGCAAACTGCTACAGCAAGCACTAGTCATATATTTGAATGTTGAGCAGCGAGCTCATTGGCTATCGATACAGGAGAGAACCAATCAGCTGTGACATGATAATGATGTCAGACTCAGTTAGATCTATCAGACTGCGCCATCTAGAGTTTCATTCCAGAACTCTGTACTTAAAATGTAATAAAAATAATAATAGGATATTAATGTAATGAGTCCATATTTTGGACAGAAAACCTCGTCCTGTCCTCTTAAATCTTCAAATTCCAGTGGTGTTATGGCTACAGAAATGAAAGCAGATTAATTAATTCACACGAACTGACGAAGCTGTAGTAGAGAACGAGCTGTTTCTCTGATGTCTGTCCTTCAGTCATGTAAGAGCAGACTGGTATCCACAAACATGCTCTTCTAGCTACTCTCTGGGCAAATATTAGCTCGCTAGTTAACCCACAAATGCTACTGAATGAATGGAAAACAGCCTGGAGATAAATGCATCTAATTTATTGCCCTCAGCTTTCTGAAAAGTGCTAAACATTGACATGTTAGAAGGAAAAGAGTCATTTCGGATGGTTGTTAGTTTACCTTGCGCAAATGTCGAGAGAATTATTCAAAGAAAAAATTATCTTCTCGTGATTCAAGCCGTATATGTCAACTTAAATATTTAACAGGTGTCATTAAATATATATTATATTAAAATATATTATATAATGAATAATACATATATACAGTGGGGTAATGATGCCTGAAATTACTACTGAATTTATTTTGCATGAAAGCATTCGAAACTTGTTTGTTATTAGAACAACAGTCTGAGTAAAGGTTGAATTTCAAATGAACACGGATGTGAGAATGTGATAGTAATTGGTGTCTCAGCAGCACTGGAGCTACATGAAGAAAATCTGAAGATTATGCTCTCCAGCGTGATCTAAGATGATTCAAAGAGCTTGAGCTTCAATGCATTTGAAGATCTGACCATCTGGATAAAAAAAAAATGTCCATAACATTTCTTAAACTGTTGATTATTTACTGGCTTAAATAAAATAAAATAAAAATACATTGGCTGAATATATACATGCATACATGTAAACATATAAGCACACAAACTTCACAAAAAAGAGACATGTCTAACCATCCAGTGCCAGCATTGAAGGGAAGTCTTTGCAGTTGGAGACTCCAGTAGAATCAGTCACACAGGTTTTCCACAAGTTGGACCAGAAGGTGGCTGTGGTGATAACCGTGCCGTCGATTGAAGACACCTTCCAGTAGTCTGTAGGTAAGGTGGAGGACACCAGCACCCAACCCGAGGTCGTGAGGATAAACCCCAGTATCTCTCTCGCCATGTTACTCATTGTTCTTCTTAAGTTCTCCAGCCGTCACTCCTGCGGTTCTCCAGCTTATTGTCCAGGTTTAGCAAGTGCACTACATCAGATGGCTAATATATTCTCATGTGACACTGCACTGGGAGGGTGTGCCAACCCAAAAGATTGGATGCAGCCACTGAAGGAGACGGTGGAAAGGTGGTAACACAGAGAAGTATTAACAGGACTTTTTATTATTATTTTGATGGTCCCCTTTTGCACATTCTGTTGACTATAAGTAATGTTGCACCTACACATCTACGAGCTCTCAGAGTGTTAGTAGAGTATTATTAGACTGGTAGGGTTAGGGTTAGAATAAGTTGACGTACTTGCAAAGTTACTTGTAGTCAGTAGAATGTCTGTTGGGAGACCATCACAAAGAGTTAGCAGATATAATGAGAGTTAGTTGACACATAGATGCAACGTTACTTAGAGTCAACAGAATGTTCAAAGGGGACCATCAAAATAAAGTGTTAGCATTATATTTACTAAATTAAAAAAAGTGAAAGTCCACCAGACCAGACAGCAATGTCTGTATATGCTTTATCATCATCTTGATAATAAATAAATGACCAATAAATGAAAAGATTAAACAGGTTAAGTGGACAATTAATCTATCAATAACTGTTCCATAACGTTCATTAATTCCTCATTGTAAATCTTATCTTGACTATCGTGTCCCCTCCTATAAAGCAATAATAACAATAATAAGACTTATCAGGACCCGTCACTGTGTTTTGTAAGTACACGACCCAAACCCGTTCATCAGTGTGAGATGAAGTACAACATTAAGACTGCTATAAGCAGCATGTGTGTGTGGGTCCAGGTTAAAAACAGTACACTTCCATAATAATACTTAAAGTGCTCTATTTTCTCGCACTAATTTTGTACTTAATATACTAAAAGTGATTCTTTAGTACTTCTAAAGATAAACTTAAGTTCATCTAAGTGTACTCAACTGTGCTATTTTGGGACACCATGAATATGACCTAAAATGTGCTACACTTGAGTGTACTAGTGTATGAAAGATGGGTTCAAGTGTACTACAAGTGGTAACTAAATACATTTTTTAAATACAGAGATAGTATGTTAAAAGTGCATTTTAGTGCATATTCATGGAGTCCCAAAATAGCAGTTTAGTACACTTAGTTCATCTTAAGTTTATCTTAAGAAGTACTAAAGAATCATTTTTAGTATATTAAGTACAAAATTAGTGCGCGCAAATAGAGCACTTTAAGTACATTATGGAAGTTTTTTTCATATGGGGGGGATCTTAAGGCATGGGCTCCAGGGGCGTATATTTTGTCTAACAGTAGGTGGGGGACAATAAACATAAAATTTCTCAAGAGCAATTTTTGAAGGGGACACAAATAATACAGCTAAAATTGTACTTGTAAGAATATGTATACATAGAGGAAAGCCTTACTATTAGTGCAGCAGGGAGACCGTGCCCAATTAGACGACTTTAAAGGGGTCATATGATGCAATTTCAAGTTTTCCTTTCTCTTTGGAGTGCTACAATCTGTTCGTGACTAGATAAGATCCCTGAAGTTGCAAAGACTAAAGTCTCAAATCCAAAGAGATATTCTTTATAAAAGTTAAGAAATTTCATTACACCAAATACACCAAATAATGTTATTTTTAGCAGCATCATATGACCCCTTTAAAGCTGTTGTGGTCGTACCGTGACAGCGCTCGTGTCTGTTGTAGACATTACTATCCGTCACAGTGGTGCCAAGTCCGCTGTTTTCCCGTGGAACTGGGCCTCTTTATCACTGTTGCTGCGGGTTGTTTTTCATGTCCGCGGGTTGAAGCGACCCAAATAACGTGTATTTTAGCTCCTGGAAGTGATTTTTACCGGGGGAACCCCCTCGAAACGCGGTTAGTTTGGGCTAGATTTGAGTAGCAATTGGGCGGGATTTGTTGTGAAAACCTGGCAACCCTTTCCCTCAAGCAGAACGTTATTATTGCTAACATAGCGGACTCATCGAAAAATACATTGGCATCATGTATTAAAGAGAACATAATCACTTCATGCGATGTTTAAGTGAATAAAATAGCCTAGACAGTCTTACTGGAGTTCCACGACTATTGGCTTTGTTCTCTCTCACTGGACTCGTGTATGTGTGTGTGTAGGTGATGTAAAAGAGGAAAGCAGGCATTTGGACCAAAGCACTGTGAGGCAAGAGAGGGGGAGACTCAAAATGTCTCTAAACTTAAAACACATTTTAATGCATTTCTACTTGCAAAATTATTTAAAGTATAAAACATTGTTATTTACAATACACAGCGTGGTTTTAATCATATTTTTAGGGGGGACAACCCTCAGTGAGGGGTGGTCCTGTCCCGCCCGACC